TAAAGGGAGGCAGAGAAAACCACTGAAAACAGATCTGTGGCAGTTCTGAGCGGCAGCTTGGTTCAGGCAATTGCAAATCCCACTCCCCAAGAGATCTGAATCAAGTTGTAGGACCCCATTGTTGTCCCTCTCGGAGCAGAGAGGCAGGTAAAGATGGAGCCAGCCTTGTGGATCTCTGGGAGAGGAACAACGACAAGCTGAACGGGGTCTTTCAATCAAGGCACAATAGAGAGAATCAGGGGCTCCCCTTCACAGGCTGCCCAGCCACACATGCAACTGATGACAAGTTACTTAATTTCTCTGCCTTAGCTTACCGTCTCTAAAAAAGCACAGTGATAATTTCCTGAATCTTCTAAGTTGGCGATTTGTAAGATGTAATTGATTAAAATTGGAAGGCGCTCAGATGCTGCATTGATGACGACCATTGAAATGCATACAAAAAATTGAGCTAGAAAAAGTAAGTGCAGCCAAAGCATTAGAGTGAGAAATAGATTGAAAAACTCACCTAAAAAGATAAGTGTCCTCTTAGTGATTACCTCTCCCTTTCCTGAAGATGTGTGAAGGCTCTGAATTAGTTTTTTTTTTAAATATGAAAATTAAAAACATGCTTCTTTTCATCTGTGCTCCAGTTCTTATCTCCAAAAAAGCAGTTAGCTGTACCTGGGAGGGGCAGGGTATTAGGAAATGGTACAACTTTCCCATTGCAGTTTCATTAGCTGGGAGGTTCAGAGGAGCCGTGCCAACTCTCGGAAGTAAGAGTCATCCTTTCTCCAATCTGGAGACAACAGAAGAGGGACAGAAACAGAGCTAGAAAGCAGTCTGGTCAAAGGCAGCCAGAGGAGTGTGTAGGGGAAAAGAGCAGCCTATATATGCAACGGACAGCCTCCATCCCTCTTCTGCTGTTTGTGCTCAGCACTCACAAGGTGCACAGGAAGGAGCTCTGAGGAGGGGGCAGAGCATAATACTGGAAAGAGGCAGTTCTGGTGGATCTCAAGTCTTGGGGGCGAGGGTGGACTGTCTCCTCCACACTCAGGAACAAGAAGGTGGGGAGAAACCCAGATGAGAAAGGAAAAACAGTTTTGTGGTTAAAGTACTGAACTGCACAGCCTCAGAATACCCAGGCCCAGGGCTGAGTCCCATTAATGTCCGCTGTGACACTGGAGGAACTATGCATGGTCTTTATATTGCTGTTCTTCACTTCTCCTCAATCAAGGAGCTACTAATCCGATTTTTCCCTTGTTCTTCGCCTGCCATCTCTCTAAATTGCAAGCTTTCCGAGACATCTTCTCCCGTTCATATCGATAGCACGTTCAAAAAATGAGACTGCAACAGAGAGACTGCCAGTCTCTCTGTAAGGGTGTGTATTACACATGAAAAATGGTAAACAGAGACATAAATGTAAATTTAATTAAACGTGAGACAATCTGCACAGTCTGAAAGTGAAAGGAATAGAGAGGTTTTGGGGAGGCATGCACAAAAGCGTAAGGGGCAAAGAACAACTGTTTGGAGGCAGAAGCCTGTGTTGCACTGTCTGGAGGACCAAAGGGAAAGCTGAAGCAAACGTGGCTCTAGACACTGGGCCTCCTTGAGGAGAGAAATCTGATGTGAAGACAACATGATAGAGAGAAGGGGCATTGTCTGAGAAACGCAGCACCTGGGATTCACATCTGAGCAGCACAGTGGAACTGGAGCAGAGAAGTTTGCTCTTAATTTCTCTATACACTACAGCTGTGTGTGGAAGAGGATAATTTCCTTCCCAATGTGCTTTTTGCTTAAATACTGCGATCTGTGTTTCTTTTGCCCCCTGCCTTCTCACCTTGTGTTTCTTTTGTCCCCTGCCTCCCCACCTTGAAAAAAAAATCATCTCTGAAACACTACTGAATTAATACTAGCAGGAGATAGAAATTCCAGAAGGTAATACAGCAATCATAGAAAATTTGGGGTTACAGGCATAAGTAGAGCAGGCCAAGGAGGGCTAGAAAATAGGTATCTGGATCAAAATCAAAACAATGGACAGAAATATACTGCAGAGCTTTAAAAGATCCTGAAATACTATTTCTTCCCTCTACAGGTGTGTCGATTTTGAACACTGTATTGCTTTCACTGTCAGAAAATATTTTTAAAGCAAAATCCCTGCAAGAGGTGATTCTACAAGGCTGACAAGTCCAGTCAGAGAAGAGAAACATGGAGTCCCTCAAAGCATTCGCTGCTTTGGGCTGTTTCAGCAGAGAATGTAAGCCCGTTCTTAACCACTGGTGTGAGCCCAGCCCTGCTGACTGCAGCCAAACAACTCAGTTTCCTACTTAGTCTTTTTGTGAAATTAATCTAGAGTGCCCAGCTTTGCATAGGACTAAGCTTCATATCATCTCTGTGTCCAATAATCTCAAATTTCAAGTATTTCCAGCAAGTTGTTCATGAGTAAGACACCAGTCAGGCACTACATGGCAAGTAACACCAAATAATAAGTTTGCAGAAATCACAAGCTGTTTGCAGACAACTCGCAACTGAAATAGAGGTAAAATTTACCCGATAAATTATTCATCACTAATGATTTGGCCAGCTTTCCTGGATATATAGCCACAGGGATGTATGACACCTTGGGGAAGGCATCAGATAGAGATGCATTCAAAGTAAACTAGAGAAGAGGATGCAGACACAGGTCCAGAGCAATCTTTAAAGAGAGGGGGAGAGCAGCTATGTGGCCAAACAGAATGAAGTTCTCTTTATAGCAGGTCAATTACAAAACACAGAGCAGGTTAGTAACTACCAGAAAAAAAACTCTAGTAACTATTTGTTTTCAGACAGCTTTTCTTCAGCAGCTGTGGGTTCCAGTTAACTGTGCAGAAACTGAGCAAGATCAAAGGCTAAATCAGGTGTGGTTAATGGGAGCAAATTCTTTCCGGCGAGAAGCTACTACTATAGGGAAGAGGTTATTAGGAAGTTGCATGCAAGGACTGAGAAGTCTACGGGTGAGATGGGAAGATACGGTAGAGAATATTCAGCGTAGGCAGGATTAGAGCTGTGCAGAGTCTTAATCTAGGCAGCCCTTTCTCTACACCTTTATCTGCCATGGTGCAGCCACTGTGTGCTGCAGCGCTGGTATAACCTGGCCATAAAACTGGATTAACTGGCCCACAAGGATCATGGCTGAACAGAAGAGGAGCACGACAATATGCCTTTGTTTACATGTTCACTTCTGTGAGTAAAGCACAGATCTCTGTGAGACAACGTGCTTAAACTACTGGTTTGGAATGTCATCAAATGAATGTGCAAGAATAGAATTAATGTTAGGAGAAGGTTTTTGCTCTTCCATAGTGCAGTCCATTTTTACTAATGTTTTCTGCAGTATCAAGAAGTTATTTTTTTTGTATGGAAAAAAAAAATCCCATTACCAGAGGAACTTAGTTTTAAATAAAAATGTCAAAAATTACCTTTCTGATTCAGCCTGTGGAGAGAAACCCTGCTGTCTCCCTCCTTCAGCTTTCCTTTTTGGCTCTTCCCTACCAATGAAAAAAATCTAGTGACTGCCTGATACGACTCATAATTTCTTCATCAACATCATGCAAGAACAGATCCTTGCCAGTGTCTCTTATTCCACAGGGTTTTAAGCCCCAGAAGAAAATCCATCTTGGACCCTGACCCATTGAAATTAATGACTCTTGGAAAACCTTAAGGCTGAGTCCTTAATGAATGCCGTCCTATACCACCCTGTTTCTTCTTTTTATGGATGTACATTACACAGCTCAGGGATAACGTGTAACTATGCAACATCAAGAATGCATGCAAGTTTTAGATTTACTCTGCCAAATCTTTGGAGAATCAGCAAAGTTTTGCCACTCTGCCTGTTTAGCTGATTGCTTGCTCTGCTTTGTAAGTCTTGAATCCAAAACTGATTTTATTTATTGGTCCCTCTAGTCTCTTACTGTTTACTCCCTTTCAATGAGGGAGTCATGAAGCCAAACTACCTCTTCCTCTCAGATTATTCAAAGTTGCTGTGGAAAGTGGAAGAGAATAAAATACTTGTTTGAGAAAGACACCCCAGAAGCCTTGTACTACCCAGAATGAGGGGGAAAGAATCACTTCCTTGCAATTGCTCTTTTCTGAAGGAAAATCAGACCACCACCACTCACGCGCCCTCCTCCACGGAGAAGTAAAGGTTCTGTCACTTCATCTTCTCTGTATGCAATTGCTTTTTATTCACAGGGGATTAATTTTGCTCTGGGCTTAGGGAGTACCTGTCGCGCCTAGGCAGCCACGACAGGCATTTCCCCGCAACCACTGGCAGACACAGCTCTTTTCGGGATACCCTTTCAGCCTAACGGCCGTATTCGAGCACACTGTCATCCAGCCGCCCCTGCCTATCGCGATTAACCACTCGCGCTAACCCCCGTCGCGCTGGCGGCTGAACGGTTAACGAAGGCAGCACGGAGCAGGGCTTGAAATACCCCCCCCTTTCCGCTGGCACCGGCTCCTCCCCGCCGCTCGTGCCTGCCCCGCCGCCGTTAACCCGTACCGGCCTTCGCTCCGCGGAGCGGCGCCCAGAGCCGCCCCCCCCCGCACAGCGGCGCGCGGGCCCGCGGGGGGCAGCCGCAACGGTAGCGCGCGCGGCGCGCCGGTTTACACGTTAACGAGCCTCCGGCCAGAGGTGACGGGAAGGCCGGCGCGCGCCTGCGCCGCGCGAAACCTGCCCTGGCGGGGAAGGGGGGGGGGGGTGGGGGGGGGGGCTGTTGGAGGAGCGATGAGTCCGGTCTCTCGGCGCATGCGCGGCGCCGCCGCTCGCGCTCGACGGGAAAGCGGGCGGGGGGGGGGCGTGGTGGTGGTGGTGGTGGTGTGGAAGAGAGACGACGACATTGCGCAGGCGCAGAGAGAAGCGGCGGCGCGGTCGGTTGGCGGCTGCGCAGTAGGGCGGAGGGGGGAGGGGGGCGCGAGACGGGAGGGGGGAGGGGAGGGGGAGGGGAGAGGAGGAGGGGGGGGGGGGGGGGCCCGGGAGCGAGGGAGGGTTTATCGGGCGGCCGATTTTGGTTAAAATATTCAAAATGGCGGACGGAGGAGCAGCGAGTCAAGATGAGAGTTCGGCGGCGGCGGTGGCGGCAGCGGCAGGTAATCATTACTGCATTTTACATATTCATATTCATACTCGCACACGCGGCCCCCCCGCCGCCCGCCCGCCCCGCTTAGCATAATTTATTAGTACTCAGGATTATTATAATTAACGGCACAGGAGGGAGCGGGGAGGGGGGGGGGGGAGAGAGAAGGAAAGCAGCCTCCCCGTGCGGGGAGACACACACACACACACTCGCACACTCGCACACTCACACACACACACGCTCCCTCCCTCGCCCGCTCCCTCACACGGAGCCGCGCTCGCACCCGCCCGCACGCCGGGGCACCGGCGCCGGGGCCGGCAGCGGGGCGATGGGGGGCGGCGGCGCGGGCGGCGGGCGGCGGCGCAACGGCGAGGCGGTGGGGTCGGGGTGGGGAGCCGGCGGGGCGGGGGGGTGGGGGAAGCCGGGAGAGGGGGTGGGGGGCAGGCATCCCCGCACCCAAAAGCGGTCGGAGGTGGCTAGCCGCCACCCGGCCCGGCTCCCCCCCGGCCCGCACGCCCACAATAAAAGCCGCTTTACATATTAATGGCGGGGGGGAGCCGGGGGGGGGGGGGGGAACAGGCTGCTGGAGCGATCCCGGAGAGGGCCGTGGGAGGAGGCACGGCCCGCCGGGTTGGGGGGGGGGGGGGGGGCGCGGGTGGCCCCCCGAGTGGGGCAGGGTTTTCCCCCGCCGGCGCGGCGGCGGCGGAACGGAGGGGGACGGGGGGTGCCGGTCCCCGCCGTGGGGCCGGGTGAAGGTGAAAGACTTGATTCCCTCATCTTGCCTCTCGTGACCCCCCAGCTCTTCCCCCGCATCCCCCCCCCTCCCCAAGCCAGGGTTATTTCCCCAGATCCTGGGGCCTGGAGGCACGGGGTGGATGGATGCGGATGGCCTCGGGGAGGGGTAGGTGGAGAGTGTGGTTTGGCTTTTTATTTAAAGCTTCCACACCCCACACCCCCCCCCCCCCCAAAGTGCAGGTTCACTGTGGGGTGACTCGGGGGGGGGGGGGGGGTGCGCGGGCAGAGTTTCTCCGTGCCCCCCTCCGGCGGCGGAGGCCGCGTGTTCGCACCCCCGAAGGCTGGATTTGCCCCGCCGGTGTTCGCCCTCCTCCCCCGTTGCCCTTGTGCCTCGGCAGCCCCGGGGGCTGGGGGGGAGCCGGGCGCTGCGGGCGCCGGCCCCGCGTCCCCTCGCCCGGGATGCCGGGGCAGGGGCGGGCGGTGGTGCCGGCAGCCCCGGTGGGCTGGCGCTGGGGGTGCGGGTCCCGTCCCTCTCGCCCGCTCTCTCTCTCTCCCTCTCCTTCTCATTTGAATAATGTCTAATTCGGGGAGGTTTATATTATTGAAATGGCCGCCCGGCTTTCCCCGCCTCTCATGTTTAGTAATTCAGACCTTTAATAACAGCCACTCAGAGCCCAACGCCGTGTTTATATTTTACATTCGCCCCATGTGCTTTTGTGGTTCAATATGATTCTTCTTTCTCGCTCTCTCGCTTTTTTTAAATTTTCTTGGCAACCCACAGGGCCCCGAGATCAAACCCAGGCTGTGTGAGGAGAGGAGGGGGGAGAGCTAGGCCCTGGCTCCTCTGGCAGGCGCCTAGGCCTCAGTCTCTGCTGCTTGATTTATTTACTAATAACCAAAATGACCCCCCCATCTCCACTCCACCCCTGCCAGCAAAAACAAAACCCTCCTGGGGCTTGAGCAGCGTCAGATCTGCTCACAGATTCTCAAACACTCATGTCTTTTAAATAAGGAGCTTATTTTTAATTTATAGCAACTCAAGACTGTAAAGCTGTTCCTTTCATATTTGCTTTTCAGAGGCTTGGGCATTTTTGGTCCCTTTGTCCTTGATTCTTTTCCTTAAAGGAGAGTTGCTTCTAATTTACGTTTCCTGGCACTGAGAGAGCTATAGAAGACACACTCAAAATCTGAACAGCTTTCCTCCTCCCTCTGAACACAAACAGAATTGAATACATTGAAGATAATCTTATTCACCTTCTTTTTGCTTAATGTGGATGCAGTTTAACAGTGCAGTGTGTCCGAGGCTTTTGTCACTGCTTGTATATTTGACTGTTCTGGGTTTTTTTTTTTTTTTTTTTTCCTTTCTTTCATTTAGATTTGGCTTTCAAAACAGAAGATACTACTAGGCAGTACATGGTCTAGAAAGGAAGATAAGTTTTCTGTGATTGTGTCATAAGAACACAAAGTTAAAATTGAAATTAATCCTCTTAAATTATCAGGAGTAATTCAGTTTTAAACCAGATATCAGTCTACTTATAAAGTAGTCCATTTGTTTTCTTTATGAGAAAGGCAGTAATTAAAAAAAAAAAAAGAATGCAGGGATGGGTTTCAGATAAAACTGTGTAGGTTTTCATTAGTGACCATTGTTTTCACTCTGTGGAGAAAAAGGACCTAACAGCAGGGTACTTCAAAGTAGCAGTGCCAGATTAGCATGTAAACATCTTTGAAACATGACTAGGAAGAGAGTTCACATACAAATGCAGACAGCATATTCTGTAGTTTGGTTCTAAATTTAATTTGTCACAAAATATACACTGCACCTAATGAAAAGCATTTTGATTTAAAAAATAATGACTCAGATTATTTATCCTTTTTCTTCACCCTTGGTGAAGACAGGCCTTGAATACTAGAAGAAAAAAAAAATCTGTAGAAGCAGTAATGAGACTGTTCAGGTGACTGACTGTTTCACAGACCAACAGCACAAGGCTGGCTGGACAAAAAGCGGTAATATGATTTCATGCCTTAAATAGCATATGTTTTTGCACTCGCTTCACAAGATGTGGTCAAGCCGATGATGTCATTGGCCAGAGGACAAGGTGCAGTTAATTTGATTTATTGACCTGGGGTGAGGTGTAGCACTGAAGCCTTCTCATAGGGAAACCATTTATCTGAGGACAATTTCCTTTATAGCAGTAATTTAACCACTGCTGAGACTGTAGATATTTTATCCAGCATGATAAAAATGTACATTGCATCTTGCAAACAAAATTTCTTTGTCACTGACGGTTTAGTAATTTTTATAGAATGGAATACTGGACAGTGGCCTTGTGCAGTCTTATGGCCAAGCTGGAGTTTATAACTCTGAATTCAGGTATTTACATGCCAAAATACAGATGTATTTCTCTCAAACGTATATTTGTCTGCCTGTGTTGTGGCTTAAAATTTTACTGAAACATGATGTGCACAGAAATGCGTCTTCACTGGTGAAGCCCATAGGCAACACATTAGTGGGAAGCCGCTTTTCCCAAACCCTGGCATCATCTTCACTTGTTGGAAGGTGCTGAGACTAGCGCGTGGGTAATACCCCTCGGTCTTGAGTAAGGACTTTCACGTTCGTTTATCACTGGTGAGGGTCAGATTTTAAGTTGCTTCTTGGACCTTCTCTGTCAGTGGTGGGTGAGAGAGTAAAAGAAACTCTTTTTTCTTCCTTATGGGCTACTTGGCTGTGGTGAGAGTTAGGGGTTGTGCTACTGTAGCAGTGCTTCCTAAGTCTTATCAGGGGAATAAGTACTCCTATTTTGGCTGTCCTTTCAGCTTTTATTTCACTAGGGACAGAAGGAGGATGGCTTGTCCTCCCCATGAAACAGTTCCACTGCCTGATTACCTCTGCTCAGTTATCAGGGTGTCTCTACCTTTTTTCTCTTGTATTTTATTTTTTCTTTTCTCTTTCAAAACTGACCAAAACTTATGGGGGCCTAACAGCTGGTTAGAGAACAGGTGAAGCTGTGTCAGTAGCCCGTGCTGCCACATGTGGAGCAGAATTGAGGTGTGTGTCAGTATGGTGATTTCACAGCTAGAAGAGCTAGAGCTTACTCCTAAGGAAGGGGGAACAATCTGAGTTTCCCACCCCTCTCACTGTAAGAGGAAAAAAAAAAATCTCAGTTTTGCTGTCACTTACAGTTTCTCAAAGATTAGCCTACAGTAATAATTCAAGCAAGTAAGTGTTAATACTGACTTCCTGATTCTGAGTGTGGATGCCTTCTGAATGCTTCTTTTAGCAAGTAATGGTGATGATGTCTGGAGTTGCCTCACTTGACGCAATCACTGAGGTAGCCTTCAACTCAGCCTGTCCCTTAAACCTAGGAAGCACTAATATATTCTGTTTTAGGAGTCTCTTATGCAGTGTGAAGAAGTGGTGTTGCTACTTCTGTTTGATTGTTATAATTTATTGCCCGGAAAAATGAGATTTTGAGCACCATTGTCACTTAAATAATCTCTGTCAAATTTCAAGTGGCAAATTCCACATTTAGAGTAGCGCTTTTTTGCGGTTTTTTAAATGTTCAGATGTGTGAGGATGCAAAGAATTTTGGGGTAAATGGTTTGTCTGTGCTGTCCAGAATGTTTGACTGATCTGTCATTTACCTTTTTTCTGTTAAATAGTGTTTATCTCCTCCGTAGACAGGTTGGTTTTCTCTCCTGGTTCTCTGGCAAATTTGCAGTAAGCATGCAATAAGCTTTCATTTGCTTTCCCCGCGTTTTGGCTCCTGTGGAGTTCAAGACTTCAAAACAGATTACAGCATTTTTAATGTGCAAATCTAGTCAGTTAATTTTCTTAACCTTTTTTTCCAGCATTATTTTCTGTTCTCCTAAAACTGTTGTTGCCCTTAGGACAATAATCTTGATACTGATGTTTTATACAGCTGACAATTAAGCAGCCTCTGCTCCTTGCACTTACAGCTTTATTATTTTTATCTTGAGAGAATCAGTGACAGTCCTGGCAAATTACTCTTTTATGACATATGTATTTTCAGTCTCTGTGACAAAGCTGTTGTTCAACACCTTCTTTTGACAAAATTAAGTATGACTTGTGTCCCAAATGTGATATGCTTGGTTTGCGTGCTTAAGCTAGTATGTGAATGAAAGACTATCTCATCTTGCTGGATAGACTTACAGTGCTGGCTGTTTACTACTGCAGAGATTTGCTTCTGTGTTAACCAATTTTCTCACCCGTTTTCCTAATGTGCTACATTGTTATACAGGGCAAGTTAAGTGTGGGAT